GGGCTAATGATTCGATTGTCTGATGATGGCTGCTGCGAATGATGACCCCAGTTAGTCCGTGGAGGACATGATCAGTCTTGTATTCTCGCAATGTAACGTTACTTTGGATTGTGCTCTGGATTGTCAGTTGGAATTCATAATCTTTTATTATCTGAGAGCGGACGAGACTCCGAACCATCTTCGTTGATTATCCTCGTCTCCTCAGGCTCTAGAGTTCAACGGTCAACATCGCCGAGCGCTCAGCGCTCAGGCCTCCAGAGCTCCATGCTTTGAGCGTGCGCACGGACGAATTTGACTTATCTCACGGAATTGAACGCACGCCATTTCAGACAGGCGGTCCAGCATGTCGCGAGTCGCCATGGCCAAGTGGCGGTGAGAGTCAGGAGTGATCGATCGCGACCGATCGCGATTGTCACACTAGATCATGGCTTTGAATATTGCTACTGTATGTCGTCAGATCTTCCGTTTCTGATGAGGATACGCAGCTGTCGCAACCGATGGTCATGAGGGTCAGCAGCAGACCGGTCACACGTCGCGAGCTCACGTCTTTTTTGACGGACATTGCGAGAATGAGGAGATGTATAGATGGAACGTGTGCCCAGCCTGTGCGCACTGACTTTGTGTGTAATACATGATGTTGTAACTACACTCCCGCCTGAGCTCCCGAATTGATGGGTTCTAGTCCGGATCTAAAAGCTTGTTGGTCAGATGGGACAAGTTGAGAAAACGATTCGTAAGAAAAGAGGGTTCAGCAACTCGATGCGTTCAACAAGCAACCGTGCCCATCTCCATTTTTGTACACTAGGAGACTTTGGTATAGGGAGGAGGCGTTCTGTCCGCCCATCGAATAGAAATTTCATCCGAAACAGCAAGAAATCGCGTGTTGCATGCGGAACGTCACTCACCGTAAACTAGATGCCTTCATACATCAACTGGAAGTGAATTTCACTGATGACGAAGAATAGTCAGGTTCACGCATGTACAGGAAGAGAAGGAAGAGAATGGTCAGCCAAGGCTGAAACTAGATTGATAAGGTTCCACATCGTGTTTTCGGCATAGAAATTGGTATAAAAGAATCATCACCCTAAGAACACTGGATACCATGCTTACCTCATTGCAAGCACATCATGATCAGCCCTGGCGGAAGTAACAGAGAGACAAGAAGCAGAATCGATACCCTCTCGTCGGTGAGAGGAACCTTTCTGGCGTTTAGCTTTTCTGGCGTTGAGCGCAACGGCAAACACCGTCGATCTGCCTTGGCGGATCTCGCGTGCCGTTGCAGCCACATTGATATCCTCACCGCGTCTTAACTTTAGTTGAGCATCATGAAATCACTTGCAACAAGCACTGCTCGAAACTTGAAAGGTACTCGAACTAAAAAAAACTAAAGACCGCAGCTCAGCCACACGGCACGCAATCGTTAGCGGGCATCTGCCTTTTCGAACTCCGCTATTCCCGAAAAGGCAGCGCAAGAAGCGCGCTAACGAAGTGGAGCGTCTCTCGCCGAGTCACCTGCTGTGGCACAACATAGTTCATTCCCGCCATGACTGCTCAGCCTCCGACGACGCCTGAAGAGTTGCTATGTGTTCTCCACTTATACGCTGGCTTTAATCAGTCAGTGTATGAAGCTTCCGTCTCCAAACTCCATCGCATTAGCCCAGAACCGAAAAACAACGCCGGGAAAGCGAGCGACAGATTGCAGATGCTATTGCTGCTATAGTAACGCGACGCGAGAAAGAAGTACCAGCTGTCATTTGGAAGGCGAGTGGTCACAATATCATTATACACGTCGCGCAAAACGGCGCCGTGGACCGGAGTGTGGCGGACCATCTTAAGTTGATTTGGACAAAGTTGCAGGCGATCAGCCGGTATGAACCTCAGACCTCCGGTGAAGCCGTTCAGAAAGCTCCTGACGAGGCGTTGGATGCAGGTCTCATGGACTTGTGGAGGCAGACATTCGACCACGTCTACACTACTTGTTTCCCCAAGCTGAGAGCTCGCATCACGAAGCGCCGACGTGAAGCGCAGGAGTTCGTTATCACCATGAACGATGCGATAGCATCGGATGCCCGATTACCAGAGACAGACATTTCATTGGGCAACAAAACCATTTTGTTCAGGCTGTTGGTCAGCGTGAAACGAATATTCGAACTTATCGATTTGCCTGCGTCCGAGGCCGTGCCTAAGATAGTCGACGTTCTTGCGCACGTGCGACGTGACTGGGCACGAGCGACGAGGGAGAATGGAATTCTCATGATAAATTGGCAGGCTATTTTGAGCAGCGGCAGCAAGGTGAGTACCTTGGCGACTGTTCTAGTGATAGCTAACGCTGATACACTGCCAGAGAGAAATGTGACGTCAAATTCAAAAATATTCGACTTTAGACGTTTCATGGAGAAGATCTACTCTCTCCACACCCATATTCAAACTCTTTGCCGTGCTGCGACATCATCTCGCAGAAAGGTTATGTTCCATGCAGAACTTGACGTGGTGCTAGTGCAGCCTTACGCTGCCCTTTCCCGTCATTTTTCATTTTCGGAAGAAGATATCGGCACTTTCATCGGAAGTCTAAGTGAATTCGAGACGCCGCGTGAAGAAGAGGAGGAGGAGGAATTGAAATCAAAGGAACAAGAAACACGTCCATTCAGCTCACGAGAGCGTCTCCTGACCCAGTTAGGCGAGTCATACTCCGAAACATCGCAAGTCGTGGACCTCTCTCGCCAGACCCCTCACTGTGAATGCACCCTGCTTGTGTATCACACGACATCCGCTGGTCTCCCACCCCATCCCTACATTGGCGTCTCCAAGCTGTCTTGTTATCCATGTTACCTCTTCTTTGAGGCATATCGTCAAGTCGTGCCAAAAGGAATACGGTGGGAGCTCAAAGGGACAAATGGAAAGCTCTATCCGGGCTGGGTTAGGCCGAAAGGATTGTCCCAGGAGGTGAACGAGAAAGTTGAACAGCTTATGGTGAAGAAGTTGACGGAAAGGCTCCGCTTGAGTCTCGCAGAAGCAAAGAAAATTCCCGACAGCACGGATGCATCGGGCAGTTCTGGGCCTTTTCTACGCTCTGCTAATAGAGATTCAGGTCAGTGGATCGGATTTGAGCTTGCGTCGTGGCTGATTATCTCGAGCATGCAGTGTGGTTATCAGTTTTGAATAAACTCTCTAAGGCTGAGAGTGGTGGGTTCATGGCTCCGCTTGAATCTCGCAGAAGCAAGGAAAGCTCGTACACTTTTTGATAGCACAGATGCATCGGACAGTTCCGGGGCTTCGCTACGCGCTGCTAATAGAGATCCAGGTCAGTGAATTGGATTTGAGCCTGCGCCACGGCTGATTATCTCGAGCATGCAGCGATTGTATCAGCTTTGATGAATCTTCGACTTAGAGTGGTGGGTTTATGCCCATTATGAGGTTTATGCGTCCTCTGAGGTATAGGAAAGTCATACAATGATGGAGGATATTGTAATCGATTAGCATCAGAGCATTTTCGCCCGTCGCAACACGGTGACTTGAACTGCACAAGCTGTAGAATGTGTTCTTCACTGCAGATAATACGTCCGCTCCCCAGTTTGTTATGCCACCGTCTGGAGACACGCATACAGAGCAGTGTTTCTGAGGTATAATGGATATTCGACGGTGCGATATCGAGTTGAGTACCGAATGACAACTTTTTGTTGTGGAAAGACGCAGCCGGTCCTTTAGAAAGCACAACTTAAGGACAGGTAAGCCATCGCTTCGGCCTGATAAATAGGAGAAATTCCCAATGGAAGACAGTGAAAAGGCCTTTGAAGCTAAACGTTCGGAGTAGTTCTCGTTGAGCTAGATTGATAGCAACATCAGGATATAGATATGATCTTACATGGAATTTTCGTTGATTGGGCTAGAGAATTGGAGAACGATTCCAAAAGATTGTTATAATACTTCATATACTCTGTTCAGGATGTTTGATACATTCAAATGAAGTTCACTGCTTCACCCCATACGAGTCTTCCCAGCCATATTTATTGAGCTTTTCCACTTTGGCCATCACCTCTCCTTCCATTTCTTTCAGGTAGCTGTCATAGCAGTAATCAGATGCAGAATCCCGTTCCTCAACATGCGAACCGCCAGCAGTCCCGCATTTGTTACATTATTGATGGCGACCGTTGTAACAGGACTGAGGAACTCCCCTCTGCAAGTCGAACCACGCATATAAGCCGCTATTGACCCGACAATTAACGACTGTTTAGTCATGGCCGATCACCACGGAATTTTTTGATATAGGTAACAAGTTGTGTTGTGTCGGAAGTGGTGCGACTTTGCAGACTTGTCGACTGGCACAAAACTGCAGCCACAGACGCGTATCGCTGACTAAGCTCTGATGGCATCGAACATGATCCCGATCGTGATCGAGCCAGATTAAGATCTCGCGTCGTCCTGAATCTTCTAGTCTCTTCTCTCTCTGTGGCTCTGCAGTTACGAGTTACACAGAGCTGAGCGACTCACAGTCAACAAGTACGCCCACCTCTCCACAGAAGTCTACCAAACGCACGATATCAGGTCCTTGTAACCCACATATCTCAAAGACCTCGCGGCTCGCACGATCATGGAGAATCTCTTGCGCTGGAGTATCGAGCATTCCACAGGTCCTAATGGAGGACAACCCCCGCCCCCACGGCCTCGTCAAGACCTCGATCCGGGGATCATCGATATGATCCTGGGAAAACCCGACTCTCAGCTGATGAAGGAAGCACTGGCCGTGGCCGTGGACGAGACGAAGGATGAAGATGAGCGGATACAGGCGTTGGATGATTTCGAGATGGTGAGTTTTATCCCCGCGCCCGGTTGAAAATGCACTGACGCCGTTGCGAATAAGCTCGTTGAGATGATCGACAATGCAAATAGTAAGTATGTGTAGGTGTTGTCCATGTTGTAATCGAGCTTAAAGGGCACTTGAAGATATTGAGAAGCTCAATATGTGGGAGCAACTGCACGCGCTTCTGACATCACCGACTACCTCAGAAGGTATCAAGATACAGACACTATGGGTCATTGGAACCGCCGTGCAGAACAACCCATCTGCACAAACGTCGGTAGGTCTGCAACTGCGCGATACCATTCCTTCGTCGTACTGTTACTGATGATTATGCTCGTGTCATAACACAGTATCTAGCACACTCTCCCATGCCAGTCCTCCTTTCCTTCTTGGACCCTTCCGTAAGTTCCGGCAAGCTGAGATCAAAGGCGGTCTACGCGCTCTCAGGACTCCTGAAGCACAACGCTGCCGCCGTCAAGCAGTTTGAAGAGGCCGGCGGGTGGAAGGTGCTCAAGGCATGTCTAGAAGGTGAGTCAGCGTGCTGTCGATTCGTTAGTGACCACCTAGTCCAACGCTATCTGTAGACTCCGAAATCGCAGTCCGCCGCAAGACCGCTTTCCTCCTGAACACCTTGATCGTCCCCACGCTCCCACCAGGGCCAGGACCCACCCACCCACCTCTCCCACCCTCCGTCTCCGAGTCAACCGGTCCTCCCAGCTCAGGCACAAGCATGGCCCTGCACGCGTCCGCTGCACCCTCGGAAAGCGACCAGCAGCCCGTCCATCCCAACTCGCACGCAGCGATGCAATCCGACCCCTCCTCCTTCGCCACATCTGCTGCAGCGCTCAAGGCTCTCGATGAGCACGGGCTACTGCAGGCGCTCATCTCGGCCATGGCCTCACCTACGCCCCACGGCCCCGACGGCGAGACTGAAGGCGACGCCGACTTTGACGAGAAGGTGATCAGGTGCGTGTGCTCACTGCTGACACAGATCTCGATTTTCGTCGATCGTGTACCTTTTTTTTTCGTACTCATCCCATGCTCTGGACAGGTCGCTGCACACGTACGTCACATCGTGCAATGGAAAGTTCTCGGAAGAGCAAAAGCGCGACCTTCGCCGCCACATGAAGACGGAGGGCGGCAAGGCGGGGAGTGATTCGAAGCTGGCGGAGAAATGGGGGTTGACTGTGGATGAGCTTGGCCACTTGAAGAAGGCGATTGAGTAAAGCAGAGACCCAAAATGTACAGTACAATTTATCGTAATACCTCGCCCACCAACGTTGTATGCTCTAGCAACGCACTTTGTTCGTACTGAACGGTGTTCCAGTGACCACACGCAACAATTAAGTACGATGCTCCTCTGCTTGGAGCTCGTTCCAGCCAGCCCACCGAAAATTCTGCCCCTAACGATCAATTGATTGTGACAATTGTGCATCGTACTGGTCAGCCTCCGACTACGGGAAACGAAAGAAAACTTCTGCACATTGCTTCGCAGCTACTCTTACATGATATCGGAACATCAAAACTGGGTCATTCAGACGCGTATGCTCTCGGGCGGGCCAAGATAACTGGGCTGAACACCACCGGTGTCTGTTCACCAGACTCTCAATGAGCATCGGACCTTTACAGATCGGTATCATGCAACCTACCGATAACGATTTTCTGCACAACCACAGTCGGCTCGATCATCCACAACTGAAAACAAAAAAAAAAGTTACAACCGCTGCCGAAGCGGCGAACGATCCACAGACCACACTCACCGTCAAGGTGTGCGCACCCGGCTCTGTCGTGAAGTTCATCGAGAACGAATTGATATTGTTCGCCGCCCAGCCGTCCATACCATCCCACTGCGCAGGCAGGCTCCCCGGCGTCGCGTTCGGCACGAAGTAGCTCACCTGTGGCTCGTCCGTGTCAACCTGCACGCCGAGCGCGAGCGGCCGGTCGGGCCCGAGCGAATTTAGCGACGGCGAGACGTACGTCGTGACGATGATGCTACCGGTATCGTTGTACGTGTTGAATGTGAAGAAGTCGTACTCGCTGCAGGTAGTGACGATGTGATGCATAAGTGGTTCTCAGCAGAGATGGGGTCATACTCACATGCTGGGGCCTGTGCCAACTGTAAAGTTGAGCTCATCGCCACCGCGAGGCCACGGAGTCACGCCTGAGAGCGTCCGACCGTAACCTGGCAGTTCGGTCCACATAATCCCCTCGACCGTCGTGTTCCTCGCAGCATGTGCCGCTTCTATCGAAACGCCGCCATCACCCTCGACGAAACCTAGACGACGCCATCAGCGTGTCTTCCCGTGCGCGAAAGTGATACCTGTGATACCTGTAAAGTCACTCGGCACCTCCGTGTAATTCGCCGTCAAAGTCGCCGTCAGCGACATGGCAGACTGGCCCTGCGGATAGGCCTCAAACGTGATCAACGCAGCCTCGGTGCTCGACAACTGGCTCCAATCAACAGTGGCGAAGACCCGTTGCTCGGGCGCATCTGGCGAGATGTACCCCTCCGTAGGCGAGAGCGTCAGCCAGGACACGTTGCTGGTCGCCGTGAAGTTGAATGACACTGGCCCGCCCACACCGAGGTCGAAGTATCTGTTGCCAGCTGGCAAGTAAGGGTCGATGGACAGAGACGGGTTCGGGCAGCTATAGCCTTGAGCACACTGGTATTGGTTGTCGCCCGGCCTGGCGTGCTCCGGTGAGACGTGGGAACGATGAACATGAGAAGAGCACGCGCACCAGGCAGCCTGGGTACCTTCAGGCGCGACTCTCATGGCGCCGGCTAGAGCCTGTTTCTGCGCTTGGTACCACGAGATATAGGGCTTGCTAGAAGGTGCGCAGTTGGTAGTCTGCAACGTGCATCCGAACCGCTAACTCACGTATTGGCCTGCGGCTGCTGCCAATAGGCATACATTACATGCGTCTGGCTCATCATGTGCGTCCTAGTTGACTTCGTCAATCAGCGAAACCAATTGCAGGTTATGCAGACGCCTGACCATTTGCCTAAACTAACCATGAGCATCGTTGCCTGGCGCATGCGATGGCATATGCGTACCTTCCAACTGGGTATCATACTCAACCTCCAGCTCCCAATCCTGCTGGAACAGCTCTTCGACAACTGCAGCATACTTATTCGCACTCAGGAATGCTTGTGAGGCGCGCAGGTTATTCATGCCCGCCGCGATCCACATGCTCGCTAGTGTATAGCTCGCCTGCACGGGATGATATACCAACTCGAAGTACGCGGACAGCATGTCTCCGGAGAGCGAGTCGCGGATGCGCGTCGCCGACACGTTCGTCGCCTGCCACATCGCTAACTTGTTCTCCGCCCTATGCGCTCATGAGAATGAGCTCAAGCCCGAGCAATACGCGCAGAATCGCACTCACTCCCGGTAGTTCCACAAACTGTACGTCGTCCCGTTCAGCATCTCCGGCTTCCTGTTCGAGTTGAACCGCGTGACGTTCGCAATCACGCCCGCGACCGTGGCCGCGTCTTCCGACGAGAGCGCGAACTCGCGCTGCGCCCATAGCTCGACGAACGAACCGAGGTTGTTCATGTCCCACAGCGACGTGTCCCAGCCGTACGTAATGAAGAACTCAGTCTCCATCTCGTACGGCTTCAGGTCGCCGACGTTGACGATCCAGATGCGCGTCGCGTTGCGCGCGGTTGCGAGCGACATTTGCTCGTAGGTCTGGGGCGGGCGTCAATCATTATCAGGCATGGAGTTGGCTGGCTCCGTACCTTGGCGAGCTGACTGCTCTGCGGAGCAAGGCGCGATCAGGTCAGATCAAATCAATGTGTGTGACAGGACGGACACATACGACAATCCATTTATAATCCATTGGATCTCCGACCTGCATCTCTAGTTAGTGCGTATACAAGAAACTTACACGATAACTGACATAGTCATACTTCACACACGGTCTGGTTAGCGGTACGTAGCGACAGGAAGGGAGAGGGGAGGGAACTTGCATGGTAATACACTCCGGCACCGCCGGTGCGGTTCCGCTCAGAGACTGTCGGCAGACGTTCGATGTTGCCGTAGCTGAGAAGGGATATCAAGGGGAAGATAACAGCAAATTGAGAGGTCGACGCACTTGTCGTCGGTCCACATCAGCGCAATGTCATCAGGCACTGTCATGCCGTCTTCATAGTACCCGAGCACTTCCTTGTCTGCAGGCCAATGGTTTATCGGACATCTAGTGGATGATCAATAACAGCAACTCACACAAGCACCACATCTGCGGGATGGTCGTGACATTGACACCGGGGTAGGTGTTGCTCAGGATCTGCCGCTGATCTGAGATGATCTCCTCGAGAAGATCGATGTCCTGGCCGCCAGCCAGTGGCTCTGACAGCGACAAACCACTCCTCATGAACACACTATACGACATCTCGCACGCAAGCAATGCATACCGTCACCTGTTCGAAACAAGCATTAGCGTCTCACGACAGCGAAACTGCCAACTATGACTGACCATCTCCTCGCATGCCAACCGTGAACACGTTCTCGTACGGCTTGGCGCGTTCTGCACCGACGACCCAAAAATTGTAGATGTTCTGCGCGTTCGTGCTGTAGTCCCACGGCCCGATGCCGAAGAGCGTCCACTCGACCGGGATGGAGCGCATCATCGGCTCTTCGTGGCTCGTGCCCATGACTATGCCATACCAGTTGGCGAGGGGTTGATTCAGGAGGTCGTCAACGCCAAATGCACTATGATGAAGAGTCAGCTTGCTTGGTGCACTACGAATCGTACGATAGACCAACCTTGACCACATCGCTGAGACAAGACAATGTGAGCGTCAGAGCGACAGGGAGGAACAAGAGGTTCTCACCCGGCCACAGATAGTTTGCTTTCAGACGAAGGAGCAGCTCGAACCTGCGACGACATAAGCGCAGGCAAGGCTTTGTGACTTGGAAAGAAACTCACAGCTTCGTATAGAAAAAGTGGTTGAAGGGTGATCCTGTCAGCGCAGCGCCGGTACCATTTGTGAATCGAGCCATAGCCCAGTTCTGTAGAGCAGGCTGCTCATCGTTGAGGAAGATGCCGCGGTACTGGACGGTAGGCGATCCGTGCGCGCATCCCGCGGAGTCGACATGAACCTCGGAGTGTGTCTTGGTGGGAACATCAGCCCACCTATAGAGGAATTAAACCAAGTCGCACGTAAGCTTTGATGGCTGAAGCACTTACCAGTACCACGGTGAGACACCTGTCGGACGGCGTTATTTACCATTCACAGAGGCTAGAATGTAGATGAATCAACATTACCAATTTGCTCAGAGTGATCATACATCGCATATATCGTGCCTCGTTTGTCCGCACCAATCATAACATATGCGCTAGTGATGCCGGGAAGAGGATTTGCGACTTCCTGCGTCATGAACGCCTCCCAGTGCCCTTCGACACTTGAGACATCCAGGTTAGTGCGGTTCACCACCTCGTCGATGAGTGAGGATTGCCCCAGCGTGCCGACGATAATTGCCTGAGTACCAGCAAGGCTCAAGTTGGCACTCGTCGCGGGTATGCTGACGTTGAACAGTGATGGCATCACCCCGGTTACGTTGTGGATGTCCATGGCAAAGTCGTACGCGGCGCGTTGCACACCTCCCCAGTCATCCTCGGACAGAAGAATCGGCACAGCTACACCATCGCTGACGATCGGAAACGAGGCAGATGATGGAGAGAAGGAAACACAGGTGGCTTGTCCGATGGCATGCACACCGCTGGCTAAGGCCAAAAGGGCGAGCGAGACGCAGGCACCCCAGCATCCGAGCATGGTGGCATAAGCTGCAGGCACACTTCCCGGCGCAAAGACACCGTCAGAATGCTTAAAAGGCCTCGGAGACCTATTCTTTCACCCTGCAAGGAGGGTCCGTGTGACCTCGGGATATCTGCGAAGGTGCGCATCTGCGGGAGATTTTCGGTGTAAGTCGTATGCGCCAGTGGATCGGTAGACGCGTCCTCGCAATGGGCTGGGTCTTATTGCGTTAACGTTGCTGATCGTATTGGCGGAGGAGAGTTGGCCGCAAACGCCTCTAGCGGACCGGGCTGCTCACCAGTGCTCACCTGATGCCGTGACACCACGCGAACAGTCACACGTCATGACCCGCAGTGTCTCTGAGTCTCTGCACCTCGGTTGCTTATGTGCAAACGTGGTCGATGACTCTGCGCTGCTGTAACGTTGATGTGCGTGGTGGTTGTCTGAGAGGTGTCTTGTATTGTATTTGTGCAACAATGAACGTTTTCCATGATTCGCGTTGCTCCACGAGATGCAAGTCATCGGACGGCCCGCGACGAACGTGGACCGCGAGAAGCGAGCGGCCGGCAGCAGTGCTATATATACGGACCCGCGATTCCGGAGACTGCGCGAAAGATGTGCACAACTCCCATGCATCGGGGTGGCCGAGCATGTGTCGCGTCTCGCATCAGAATGATCTCCAAAAATCCATATGCGCTTGCTCGCTGCCGCGAGCATATGATAGTGTCGACCAGCCAGTGACTCAGACAAAATGAGCCGATGCTCCTTGTTAGCCCAATGCCAGGAATTCAGACATACCTCGAAATATAAAGCGCTCCGAGGGCAGGGAATCAACTTCAGACGACTTCATACGAGGATGGCATCAGTTTCATTGGTAGGCGCCGAGCAGCTCCTCGTGGTCGCGTCTGAGGTTGAGCTCGTAACGCTATTCATCGGCTTATGTGTTCCATGTCACGACCGGGCATTGCCGTGTCTCCTGGGCTTGCGATCCGCCTGATGATGAGAACGAACCAGAGCAGTTTCCCTCTCGTGATGCATATATAGCCCCCTGTGCAATGTGCATCTCCTTGAGGCGGAAATTAGGCTCATTGTGTGTTGGCGAGGGTGGTGGGCCGGAGAGAGTCTCTGTAGCTGGATACGGACGAGGATGCTGAACGGTGGCGGTCTGCAAACCGCTTCTTGTTCTGATTGTTCTTCTTCGCGCGGCGATTTGGAACCAAGCCTTTAAATTAAGTAGAAGGGAGACTTTGTCAGTAATGGAATACAGCCCCCAGGATGATCAGTACGCACTGGGCATTCCACTCTGAGATCAGCGCGAGCACCTTGAAGCGTCTGAGAGCCAATATGCAGCGAATTTAGTCAATCCATGTGCGGAATCCTCACAATATCATTACACAGCGATGCCGCGAGGGCGCGCAGGATGAGCGGCCCCGGCGGTTTACGCGCGCAGCGGTGCTGCAAATGCGCGCAGGAAGAACGCGTGCTCGCCGAATTTGACTTTGAGCAACACTCTTCGGTGTATATATGCGCGTTGGCAAGCCTCCGGAGAGCTTTCAAGACGGCGACTTGCGAGGTTGGGACAGGTCACGGATAGCCCCAGCACAGCCAAACTGTTCGAGGCCAAATTTTGTAAAGACTTCCCTCCGGCACCCTGTAACCGCGCTCCTTGGGTCATTTTGTCTGAGGACAGGCACAGACGGGGGGTAAAAAATAGGCTGTGGTGAGAAAAATGAGGAGGAGCGTATAATTAACAAGATGGTGACCGTCTCTTTCCCCGTTCGTCTACTTAGTAAGCAAGCTGGGTTCGAACTTCACTCTGAGAATCAACATGCTAGTGTCAATAATCAGAATGTAATACATTGCGCGGCTCTTTTTGCTGATGACCCTGGCGTGGACTCGTAACCTTAGATTCTCCTGTCATTCGAGTTGATGAACATGCGCATGCGCGGAATAAAATCCGTGGAATATATCGTAGTGAATTTTGAAGCGGTCCGTCCTCTTGGAGTCATCAGGGCAGCAGGTGGCCGTTCAACTCGATGCGCGGCTGGCGCCACCGACGCGTTTCATATGATCACGTGGACGCGTCCGATTGCTTGCGCTTTCGCTGAGACTTCGCCCCTTTAGAAGGGATACAAAACAAACCATGCATGACAGGGTAAAATACATATTGCACTCCAACACATAGTCCTCCAGAGGGTAAATGCACAACATCTACACCTGGCTGAGCGGCTCGTACCCCGACCGACTGCTCCCTCCCGGTCGTCCCAACCCCAATCCCATCAACAGACTCTTCCTCAACGACTTCCTCCCCGCAACCTCCACATGCAAATCATCCCCCTCCTCTCTCTGTCTCTTCCTCTTTGCCTCCGTGAACCCTTCCGCAGGCACATCATACACCCGCTCATACTCCACGCCCAGCTCGCGGCCCTTTGTCCAAAAGTCCTTACAGTTCCCAAAAACCCCCAGGTCGAACGGGTTCGGCGCGCTCCCGGCGCGCGCCAGTCCGTCCGCCGCCTTGCCCTTCGTGAAACGGTCGAACCCGAGCAGGTTCATCAAGAACCCGCTCCCGCAGCCTGCGCACATGCCGTGGCTGTGCGCGTGGTGATGCACGGCCGTCACGCCCTCGATAGCCACGTCAGTGTCCCCCAGCACCTGCCGGTGCTGGTGGCCCATCTGGCTGCTCATGCTCGCGCCGCCGCGCCCGCCCATGAAGCCGTACCGGCCGAGGTTGGACACCTCGAAGGTCGTCAGTTGCCGCGCGACTTGCCAGAGCTGGCTGCCGAGGAGGACGATCGTCCATGAGAGCTGGAGCGTCGACCACACGGCGACGGAGAAGAGGAACGTGTCGTAGGCGGTGATGGCACAGAGGTTGGCGGGTAGAATGCACGCAGGAGAGATGTTGCTGGGATCGGTGGAGTCGTCGGTGGAAGAGAAGTCTGTGGGAGGATCAGCTCCAGTAAGCACATGGAAAAGAGAGCGAGCAACTTGCATGCAAATGTGAGATAGTCGAAGAGTACAATCCCAATCACGAGAGTAGTCACGAAGAGCAGGAATTGTCTGTGGTTGTTCACTCCAACTGCCAGATCGAGATTAGAGCACAATATGTTCACACCCAAATGTTACACATACTGCAATTCCACACCCATGGACAATGGCTGGTTATGAATGTGAGTCACAAAGCTTGCACATCGTCAGAAGACTGACGTACTGATCATGCCGGGCGATACACCGATCGCAAGTACGACAATGCTTTGAGCGGAGTGGCTTTCGTGCCTAGAGACAATAACTGAGCGTCCACGTTCGGCAATTATATAGATCATACTTACCATGCACTGGATGCAGAAAGTCTGGCCATTGAGTCGTCCTTCAGACGCCAAGTCCTCGATTATCTATTCGTGCATCTTAATACCAGCAGCTGAGCACTTAGCTCAAACGTGTACTCACCGACTTGAGCTCAGCATCACTCGCTGGTTTCGGGCATCCTCCTGGATCCAAGCTGATCGCGCGGAAGAAGTTGTATGTGCACAGACCCAAGCTGATAGCGAACAACAGATGTGTGAATGCATGAGATTGTGTTTCTGAGGAGGGTCAGAGATCTAGCAGATACAGAACGAAATGTATACTCACGATGCACCAGGCGTGTCAGCCAGCTATACATTACCCATACTATCGATGCAAAGATGATTCCTGCAAAGTACGGGCTTTGTGCGACGCTGTCCGTGTAATTAGATTTGTCGAGGAGGACTCGAGTGACGATCTGTACGCATGTGAGCGACGAAGATCGCACATCAGACGTTAACAGACTCACATGATGCATGCCGAAGAAGAGGGTCATTGAAAGTATTATTCCAGTGTACCACGGGAGGATCGTTAAAGTCATGAACATCAGGAAGAAGGAGATCGTCGGTAGTATGAATATGGCTATCTTCGTGTTCCTCTATGGCACATTTGAGCGCATGACCTGAGTGAAAAACAATATTGACGGACCTCGCTGAGCGGTTTCCGCTTCTTAGTGCCATCTTCATTCATCCCTCCTTCCTCCAGCGCACGTTTCCATGCTCCAAGACTTTTCAGCTCGACTGCCATATCCCGCGCTGTTCGCCCTTCATTGTCCTTCGCGCTGATATCAGCGCCGGCCTCAATGAGACGCCGGATACAGATACGGTTGCCCCTCACGACCGCCCAGTGCAGTGGCGTCAGCCCAGCATCATCTTTTGTATTGGCACTTGCACCATGCTTAAGCAGGAGGTCAACCGAGAGCGCATCGCCCTGGTACGCAGCCCACATGAGCGACGTGTGGCCCTGCGAGTCACGCGAGTCGACGTTGATCGGCTGGTGGAGGAGGTAGAGCAGCGGCATGACAGAAGACGAGTGAGTGACAAGGTGGAGGGTGTTGTAGCCCTGGGCGTCGGTGATGGTCGGGTCCGCGCCGTGCGCGATGAGCAGCTGGATAACATAGAGGTAGCCGTTGCGCGCGGCCCATTGCATCGGGGTTGCGACGAGGTCGCCGCCGAGCGCATCAACCTCCGCGCCTTGCTCGAGTAGGTAGCGACATGCGGCGACCTGCGCGTTGATGGCTGCCCAGTGCAGTGGCGTGATGTTCTGCTCGTCCCGGTCGGTCGCTTTGGCCTTGCCAGACTCGATGAATTCGCGGATCGCGCTGACGTCCCCCCGCTGTGCTGCAACAAAGATATTCATCTGCAGAGAGCTGTAGAGACATTGTAGCAAGAACACAGGGCATCATGCTCACCTCGTGCTCTTGCACGGTCTGTGCCGCCTGCGAATGCGTGCCATGCGTGCCAGAGACAGACGCCGCATTCATTAACGTCCCCGACGGCTCTGTCTTGGAATTCACAAACGAGGTTGGGTCAGTCATGGCCGTTGTGGATGGTACCCCCTGCGGGCTTGGAGGCGCAAGAGGTCGTGGCTGTGGTGGTGATGGTCAGCGTACGCCGACCCCGAGCATCAAGTCCGCTCAGTTACGGTCACGTGCCGAAACATTTCCTCGCCAATTTCCGCAGCGCGCAGCCTGTTCAGCTCCGATTCAACAAGTTTTCACGATATTGATGGAGGTGTTGCTGATATTCTGCATAGCTTTGATGGTATTAGCTGTGGGACACCCATTTGCTGTGTCGAGAAAGACATCTTTTTGCCCGACATGATGATCTACAGCCTCCGGCGCTCCAAGGACGGTTGTGTAGAGTCAAGTTACCCACCAACGTTTGCTATGCTCGTCGAAATCTCCTAGCTCGCTGTCCGCACGTCCCCCGCGCGCTCTCGACGAGCCCCATGGTCAGACACACTCCCTTTCATCTTCCGAGAAGACGGGTCCTGCTTGCGACAGCCCTGGGAGCGTCGCTGCTCACTCTCTTCCTCCTGCTGCGGCAGGCGCTTGGCTATGTCGACGAACTAGATCTGCCCATCTCCGCCCAGCTCGAATACTTGGACTGCCAGTATCTTCCTCTGCACGCGTCTTCGCTGCCTCTCTCGGCCCCGCCAAGGACGCCGCTGCAAGCCGTGCAGGATCTGCCTAATTCATGCATTGACGCTCACTTCGCGCTTGGCGAGATCTGTCCTGAGAACAACGCTCGGCCCCTCGACGTCGTGTGGACATGGGTTAACGGATCCGATATACTCTTGGGGGAAGCCAAGAGCCTCGCACAGAGCCAGTTTGGACCGAAAGACCCGTACAGACCCTTGCGATCGGACGCACAAGCGCGACTCTATCGGTGAATTCTATTCGGCTCAATTCTCTCTTCAGTGCATGACCTGATCGACGGTCTTCGCAGCGATCACGACGAGCTCAGGTTTTCCATGCGCTCGGTCTTGGCCAACTTTAGGCAATATGCAGGCCGATTCCATCTCATTACAGGCGACTTCCCCATGCCTCAATGGCTCGCCGAGAGAAGCAATATCTCTGATCCAAAGTCGTGGCGATTAGGACAGATGCCACAATGGCTAGATACAAACAATCGACTCGCGCACAATATGTGGCAGGACGGAAACACACAACTTTCTATCACACACCATGCACAAATCTTCCGCCCCTATACAGGGACTAACTTCAACAGGTAGTAATTAGATCACACTTCATATGCATGCGTGTTGACTTTGCGCTCCAGTCTCGCTATCGAGTCACAACTCGGCCATATAGAAAACGTTTCAGATTATTTGTGAGTCAACGCGCTCTGACCCTCCCGGATACAAGTTTCTCATTAGCTGCTCGCAGTATTTATATGGTTAGCACGTTTGGTTTAGCCTGTGTACTGATCAGCGGTAAGGATTGATCTTCACACCATGCAGAATGACGACCTTTTCATGATCAACCCATTGTCGCCCATTAGCTTCTACACGCCAGGTGCTCCGTCCATTATACCCCTCGCTGTTTTCTTAATTTACAATACCCATAGCGTATGGAGCTGTCCTGCACATGCAGCCGGATCTTCTCGTCAATCCCGACAGACTACGTGGGAACAACCAAGGAGAATGGCGTAGCCTCGGCGAGAGCAACTTTCTTCTAAGTGCGTGCGGACTTCTATCACTCTCACATCTCGCCTTTCAATCTTCTTCTCTGCATAGGCAAGCGGTTCGGTCGCCGATACCGTCCATATGTCGCCCACGAAGCCAAGGTCGCCTCTCGCGCTCTCCTACACGAGATGGCCACCATCTGGCCCCAGTCGTTCGCGGCCTCCGCGGCGCATCCCTTCCGAGAGACAGCAAACGGCGACGGAGACGTGAATGCGTTCTTTATGCATGCGCACTTTATTGTCGAGCGTGCACGAGAAGCGCTCCTGTGGAGCTGGGTCGTCGGACGGGTCGGCGCGCTCAATGGGACCTGGGGCGAAGCGGAGGCTCGGCGCGCTTGGGAGGAAATCGGTGGCGCTTGGGGGGAGAGCGATTTGCTCGTGGAGACTAGCCATCGGGATACGCTCACAAGGGAAAGGGTCGAGAGGGTCCTGAAGGCGAACAGATATCCGCTGCCGAGCTTGACCTCGTATTCATTCTGTATGTGTGTATCTGCTTGGTTGAAGGCTTCCCCCCCTACTGACAAGATCACATAGCATCTCTCGACGGTTACGCGTACGCTGGTCTGGGTGCCTATGGCCGGCCAGAATGGGTGTCATTTGCCCCGGAGATCAATGAGGGCCACCTGCCCAGGTGCAGGATATCCTATGAGAAGTGTTTCGCGATGGAACATCCGGAGTCTGAAGGTCAACAGCGACGTGCAAGCGAAATCTTTACGGATATCGCGTTCCGGAATGAGGCTTGTGGAGATTGCGGTACGCATCCTTCATGTCGCTCATTCGAACAGACAGATTGAATGTTACTCAGTTATTCTGGCGCTTACAAAAGCAAGCGGCAGCCATGGCTTGTCGGCTTTCCTTCCTGCTCCCGATCGTGTCCTTCCACCGGTGGACAATGAGGATGGCGAGCGAGAAGTCCCCCATCTTCCTCTAGTCGCAAACTGGGAAGACGGCGACTTCTCCCTATATGCTGTTATGGGCCTGAAGCGTGAGCAGAATGTAAGACAGTGGGTGCTGCAGCTTCTACAGCGCTATCGCTATGTGATAGGTACGTGCCAGCACTCGGATGTCACAGTCAATTTGTTTAATGTGGGATGATCCAGGTAATACACCGTCGCTTTTCGAACGCGTCTCGAGCCCGCAAGGAGCGGCACAAGTCGTCGCACATATCGAGCGAACGCCCCATGTGGCTCTTCTTTGCATCAATGACGACGCCACGAAGGAGAGCCTCACTTCCCAAGTGACACAGGTGCTGAAAATATGGTTCAATAGACGCTGGAAGAAGCCTGCCGCTTGGGAACAGCGGTAACAGGGTCGAGCATTCTTCTCATTTGGATTGATGTAAGTCAATGGGGCTTTCTGGGTTGATTTCGATCAACGTTGTCATCTGGGTTGGTCGTTCTCTGTATAATGTTTTATTATCGTAGCCTTGTGCTATGTCCCATGTGATTCGTAGTTCCAGCTGATGTTACATAGACACAGATTTCTTTGACAAATGTCGAGCCACACACATTCAATGCAATCCCACAAACCTGTGTCGGTGGATGAATCACGGATTTCGATTCGAACTAATTTCGCATGTTTTTCACTTCCTGAGTGGTCCAGATGGCGGTGCCATGCTCTGAGAACAGACGTTAATTGTCTGTCGTGTATTGCCAACCGTGACGCTGGCGTCGTGTTTTTCAACTCCATCTAATATTCTGCCTAAACGAATAATCGCGCTTTCGTCGTACTATATGCTTTGTTTCTCACTCAAAATCGTGCTATGTCCATTCAATTCATTCGGTTCCCTGCTCTCGTTCTCAGCGAGTCTATCTTATTTATACAATCTATCCTCAGGTCTACACAAAAAGCTCATCTCGGATATATTTATATATCACAAACATACGGAATGCTAGTTACCACGAAACGATGCGACATGCTATATGGAAAAGTATGCCTCCCCGGAGTGGGTATGCATCATGGGGTCCTTGAATATGCCAATAGTTCGACGATGGAAGCCGGAAAACCCATAGTATGTCAGCTTCAAGGCCATCCATTTCCCACCGCTCTGATCAACACCGCCACACCAGCCAGCATCGCCA